TTAAGTGGCAGATGGACATTGGGCCTCCACTCAACTACTCCCTCAATGCAAGAATACTTTGTTCTATTAAACTGGCATTCCATGATGCTCACCTTCCCAACACGATCACTGAAGACAAAGCTGGTGCATAAGCAAATGTGGTGAAGCAAGCTGGTGGAGCCTGGCTATCAAAAGATATAGCATCTAGAGTCTTAAAGACTTGAAATTAAACAAGCGGCCATCTAGCTCAGAAGCAACAAAGCCCGCATGGAAGTAACATACCGGCCTGTGTGATCACAAGGTGCCAAAAGGATCAGCTATCCAGCATCAAAGAACAAAAAATCAAATCATTGTGAGTGAGGGGGAGTGCTGATTGGGGACCCAAGACCCATCTGTAGGCAACTGGACATCACCTTATAGAAGGGTCACGGGGAGGAGATGAGCCAGTCAGGGTGCAGTGTAGCAACAATGAAGCATACAACTCTCCTCTAGTTCTTAAATGCTTCCTCCCACCTTGCTATCATGATCCCAATTCTACCTTACAAATATGGCTAGACCAGAGGATGTACACTGGTACAGATAGTAACTGGAAACAGGGAATTCAGGACAGATGATCCCTTCAGGACCAGTGGTGAGAGTGGCAATACTGGGAGGGTGGGGTGGAAAGGGGGAACCGATTATAAGGATCTACGTATAACCTCCTCCCTGGGGGATGGACAACAGAAAAGTGGGTGAAGGGAGACGTCGGACAGTGTAAGATATAACAAAATCGTAATAATTTATAAATTATCAAGGGTTCATGGGGGAGGGGGTAATGGGGAGGAGAGGGAAAAATGAGGGACTGATACCAAGGGCTCAAGCAGAAAGCAAATGTTTTGTGAATGATGATGGCAACAAATGTACAAATGTGCTTGACACAATGGATGGATGGATGGATTGTGATAAGAGTTGTACGAGCCCCCAATAAATTGATTAAAAAAAAGAAAGAAAAATATGTTTGTGAAATCAGTGTAGACCGAATTTCTGGGCAAGGGTATTTTCTTCATGATTTCTAAACTCCAGAATCTTTATTGAGAACTCTTCAGTATGAAAAAAAAGTCATGTAATTGGATCAGTAAATATACTCAAATATATCCTATTTTATAAACCTAATTAAAAAAAAAAAATATATATATATATATATATATTACTTCTTCTGAAAGCAGGCTAAATTTGTAGAGGAAATAATAATATAACGTTATCAAAATTGCAGGTTCTAAAATGTAGTCCTTTTATTCTCCAATGCAAGATAATAAGCCTAGATTTAACTATTTATTTATTTATTCATTTATTTATTTATTGCTAATTCATGAGCAGCTGCCATCATAAATCGAGCCATATGGAGAAGTCAGAATCTCAACTTTATATTGGTTGAGTGCAGTGGCTTGCTCCCTACGATCTCTAGGAGCATCTCTAGGCCTTATGATTCACTAGATTTGAGGACCTTTCCCTCCTGAGCAATTGAGCATCTCCTAGACCTGCTCAGGACTTCAGGGTTTCCGAAGTGTACAGCACGTGTGTGTGAGAGAAATGGCATCTGGTAACAACTTGCTTCCTTGCGTGACACGGTTTTCCCACACTCTTCAGTGGAGCATCTCTCGAGCTGGTTGGCAGGTTTGATAATTATTTAACGATGAGAGAATGAATCATGTATTTGAGGAGCTGAATTTTGCCCTTTACTGTGTCTTTCTTCCCCACATGTCTGGCAAAGTCTTCAGAGTTAGGATCACTGATCCTACAGTTGTCTCAAATCAAACACTTGTCTTCAAACTTAATTAGCTCAGAGATATAAACAGATGGATGGCATGGGCTAGAGGGGATTTCGTGTTGAGCAATGTAGCTTATTAGGAACTTTTGAAATTTTTTGTTGGAAAAGGGTATAGAGACCTAAAAAAATAAAAACCCTAAAATGTTTAAAGTATGTTCTTAATCACCATCTGCTCCACAGAAGAAAAATGGGGCTTTCTACTCCTGTAAACAGTTAGTCTCAGAAACTCACAGGGGCAGCTCTGCTCTGTTCTATGTGACGTTCCTAAGAGTTGGTCTTGAATTGATGGCAGTGAGTTATGAGTTTGGGCACTCGAAGTGACAGTTTAATATGTATCCCTCTGTATTTGTTTTTGGGGTATTTTTGGTAACCTTCACTTTAGATTTAATTTAAACTGACAGAAAATTTGCAGGAAGAGTAGAAGGGACTTGCTTTTACCCGGATTCACTCTGTTTTCATTTCTCCCCGTTTTCACTTAAACACAATTTTTTTTTTCTGAACTATTTCAGAGCCAGATGGCGACAGTGGATTTCATTACTCCTCAATGAGGTAGTTTGTATTTAGCGTGGTTTTCAAAATAATAAATTTTAACACTGTTAAAACATAGATCACTTTCAAACTACACCAACTGTCTTAGTAATGCCTTTATTTTATTTTGCAAAAAGACCTTTTTTAACCCCAACAGTTTTATTGGCATGTAGTTTACATATCACACAATTCAATAGTTCAATCATATCAAGGATAATTGTACAATCATTACCACATTAATTTAAGAGCATATCACCACCGCGGCCGCCATGGTTACATCACCTTTAAAATGAGTTATGCAAACCCAATCTGCCCTGATGCTCCCTCCCCACTCCCATTGTGAAATGATGCCTTGTATAACATGTCTCCCCCCCACCAGTCCAAGACCCATTGGTTGCCATGTCTTCTTTGTCCCCTTTAAATACAAACAGTTTCTCAATTTTCTATTTATTTCTTGACCTTGACATTTTTGAAGAGTTCAGGCCAGTTATTTCGTAGGGTAATCCCATACTTCTTTCCTATACTGGATTTAGTTGGTGTTTTCTCATTCAGTTAGAGTTTTTCATTTTTCACTGGAATGCTATAGATGTGTCTCTAGAGCGGCAGTTCTCAACCTGTGGGTTGCAACCCCTTTGGGGATCGAATGACCTTTCAGAGGGGTAGCCTGATTCATAAAAGTAGCAAAATTACAGTGATAAAGTAGCAATGAAAATTATTTTATGGTTGTGGTGGTCATAACAACATGAGGAACTGTGTTAAAGGTCGTGGCATTAGGAAGGTTCAGAACCACTGCTCTGGAGAGTGTATATATATGTGTGTGGGGTGACATGGGGTGGAGGGAGTGTTCTTATCAGGAGACACCTGGTGTTGATTTGGTCCTTAGTTAGTGATGTTAGTTTTGGTCATTTATTAAGGTGAAGTCCATCAAATTTCTCTACAGTAAGCTTACATTTTCCCCTTTATGTTTAATAAAAATTTTAAGAAGCATTACTTTAAGTGTGTTGCGCTTTAATTTTTCTCCCATGACACGAGGCTTTCTATATCCTTGTTATGGTCTTGAACCCCATAAAGCAGTTCTACCCTGTCCTATAGGGTTGCTGTGAGTCAGAACTGAGTCAGTGGCAGTGAGTTTGAATTTTCAATTTGAGTTGTAGTTACCATGGATGATTTTCTATTATTTCTTCTGTATTTATTAGTTAGCATTTCATTTTAAGGAAGAGCTGATGCTTCTCCATTTATTTATTTGCATTGATATGGTCTTAAGTGTTACCATATATACTCAAGTATAAGCCGACCCAAATATCAGCCATGGGACCTAATTTTACCACAAAAACTACATTAAAAATGTACTGAAAAGCTCGACTTATACACGAGTATATATGGTCCTTTGTTAAGTGTTTATGATTTATTACTGTGTTAGGGTTATCTAGAGAAACAATACCAGGAAACTTATGAATCTATCTATCTGTAGAGAGAGATACAGCATGAAGGAATATAACAGCTAATTAGTCTACACAGCAGTGCACAGGGTTCAGTTCAACTTACTTACATGGAATAGTTAATATACTGGAAGTCCTTCAACTCACTAGGAGGGCTGGTGGGTGAAAGGTCAAAGAAGCAGACTGCTGCATTTTCACTAGGGCAATGCAGGCAGTCCGGCCACAGGCAGCAAACAGCAGGGTGGGTCACCAACAGTCAGCTGCTCAGAAGCTTGGTGAAGCAGGCTCAGGATGGGATATTGAACTCAAGCAATACAAGATGAAAGGATCCGACAGCCCCAAGCTCAAGTGATGTATACAACAGCAGTGTGACGAAGCAGGTCTCGAAAGAACCTCAAGCTCTAGTGACACAATTCATCGATTGACTGTCCCACAGATAGTGTAGCTCACAAGTAGAGGCAGAGAACTAGCTAAAGCAGCTGCAAGCTGGTCCTATCACCAGAGCTAGAGAGAGAGGGGCGGGGCTTGCTGATCCATTAATTTCTTTGCCTTCCAGTCAAATTCTAACCTTATTGACCCCACATGTTCCTATTAGCCAGGTTGGCACAATAAACCCACCTATCACAATTACTATCACTATTTTATATTCAGAATAACACCCATTTGGCCAGAGCCCATCTACACTGGTTATTGGACCCTTCTAGATAAGTCCCAATCATTCTTTGAGTACTTCTTTACTTTTTAGAACTAGATATCTCAGACTTACTTTGTATTTTTCTTCGCCCTAACCCTGGCGTCAACATTTCTCTGAAGAATACTGATTCCTTTATTGTGGAGAGTGATATTTAGAAACCAAGACCTGGGGTGGGGGTGGTGGGGAGGTGCTTAAAGAAAGCTATGCTCTAGAACCTTATATTTACTAAATCATTGTATACTCTATGCATGAATAAACGTGTGTTTATATGCTGAATGTTGTAAGTTTCAAACAGAAGAGCATTTATTTTACATATAATAGGCATAAGTTTGACAAGAAAGAAGTGTATTTTGGATTTCACAGTAAATAGAATCAAATAGTTTTGAGTATTAAATCATCTTGATATTTATGGAGGAGCAAGTGGAAAGTGGGGAAATGAGTATCTTAAATATAAGACTATCTTTAACTGTTCTATTAAAGAGCAAAGATTTGTTTTCCATCTGTGATCGGACTGTGCTTATCTCTGTTTTTGTTTGTTTGTTTTTCATTGCAGTGGAATTTCTGTGGAGCCACACGACAGAGAGCATGTGTGTTGGATATATGTCAGCACAGGATGGGAAAGCCAAGGTAAGGGAGTAGGGGAGCTTCAAACCTCGTATCCTTTGCATAAAACTACAGCCAGCTAAAATGATACAAATGCAGTATCAGTCTGTAGCTTTTTGATATTTGCACAAATATAATTAAGATCACTTAAGGTTCCTAAAGAAAAACCACAGATAATTTTTATTTTGACAGCACAGAAGAGGATTAGGAATTTTTGAAAAATGTTATTCGCCTCTTGACCACCTGTGAAATATTAGAAACAGAGAGGAGAGTTGGGAGAAGAAAGTGGGAATGAAACATGAGCTGTCAGGGCTAGATGGTTTTGCAAGGATTGCTTGAAGAACGAAAGGAAACCAAAACAAGTAGGTTTAGCCCCTGGAACTTAGCCTTGCATGTGTGAGGGCAGAGGGATTGACATGCTCGTACATATGACTTGACTGAAGCTCCAAAAAGTTCTAGCAAAAGCTCACATGGGGTTCTCATGAGCAGAATCAATAGTCTGTGACCTTGTACCAAGTATGTGTGCTGGCATCGCTGGGTGACTCTCAACAGTCATATCAACATGCTCACATCACCTCTTGAGCTGCCCAGCTTCCCTAGACTAGAACTGAAGACGTAATTTGTGGATTTTGTTTTACATTGGCCTCGTGTTCTTGTTCATGACGGTTTTAGAAACAGCTGTGGCACATGATGTTTATATGGAATAAAAATGCCCCACTTGCAAAGCTAGGAAGTTGAACAGCCTCTTCTTTAAAGGACACAGTACATTTGGAAATATTTTAGTTAAGAGTTTTAAAAATATAAATCTTCTGATATGAACTGAATCATTAACAAATAGAGCATGGGGGTGGAACAAAATGGCAAAGTGAATGAAGACTCCCATTTCCTCCATCAGCAAGTAACCAGCTGAACAAATAATTCAAGCAAGTACAGACTTAGGTCATAACAATTCAACAGCTGAGGTGCTGGAGCATCAGCCTGAGTGGAGAAGCAGGAGGAGAGGAGCAGTGATGTACAGAACTGAAGCCACCTACCCACTCGCGTCAGGAGCACTCACTCAGTACAGCCCTTCTGGAACAGTGCTGGGTAACACCCAAAACTGGAAATGAAAAAGGACAGCTATTCTGAAGAAGCTGTAGCCCATATTTCTAAAGGTGGTATACATTGGAAGTGTGAGTTCACAAGTGGTGCTCTGAGAGAGTACTGTTGAATCTTGCTGAGGCCCGAGATGCACAAGAGGGGGACTGGAAAGGACACAGGGCCAGGAGAATACTTAACAATGATGTTTGACAAAGGAGCTGCCAGCTTCACCACTGTCATCAGCATCAGTAACCAGCAAAATACCCCTTCATGTACGTGCATATTGAATTCCAGAGATAAGAATCCAGAACTCCTGATTCAGCACTGTAAAAGGTTTTTTTTGTTTTAATCAAAAACAAAAATCCTAAAGTTATGAGTGACTTTATAATTTACAATCCTTGGATCACACTGGCTGGTGTGCTTCTTCCAGGAGGACTTGGGTGATGGCTCACTTTGATGGCTGCTTGTTTGAAGCCAAGCTTTTAAGACCTTAGATGCTATTCTTTCTGATCGCCAGGCACTATCTGCTTTCTTTACTACCCATTTCTATAGCACCCATATCTTCTGTGATCGCTTGAAGGTGGTGAACATCAATGAGGCTATATCATGTAAACTCATTATTATGATTGAGGATAGATTCTTAAATTGAGGCTAGAATTAAGTGTGATTCCCCCAAACCATTCATATAGCTATGCTTTACATATGTTTTATGTATGCCTCTGGTTTACGTTAAAGACATTATTTTCATTTTATGATAGATAACATTATGAATCATCCTCTTAGGGCATAAGATAATTCTGTTGATAGTATCATTAATTTGGTCAATGGTATAGAATTTTAAACATTGTTGAAAAAGGATATTATACTGGTGAAAGTCAGCTTCACACTGCAATCAATGAATTATTTACTTGTACAGATTAAGCATTTATATGACTGGACACTATTTACATAAACAATAGGAGTTGGTGATAGGGCAAAACTTTCAATGATACTCATTCACAAAGGCAGTACTATACCTACCAGCTTAATATATGCCATGAGAAAGCAAAGAGGGCATTTAAGTATTAAATATGAGGAGTATTTAGATCTTAAATACTTAAATACTCCTTACAAATATTAATACTTAAATACTCCTTACAAAATGGAATTGTGCTGGGCGAAGGTGAGCTTTTGTAGTATGCATTTTTCCTGCTGGGCAAGGATCAAGCAACTCACTTTGAATTAGTGCACCCAGTGGCATTTCCTGGTAAGGTTCTCTCTGGTGACAGTGAGGTGTTTTTTTGTTTTGTTTTCATAAAAGCAGTTTTGCTCAAATCTTGGTTTTTTTTTTGTGATGGCCAATTTTTTTTTTAAATAATCATTTTATTAGGGGCTCATACTACTAATCACAATCTGTACATACGTCATCTGTGTCCAGCACTTTAGTACATATGTTGACTTCATCATTCTTATGACACCCACTTTCCACTTGAGCCCCTGGTTTCAGCTCATTTTTCCCTCTCCCTCCCAGCTCCCCCCGAACCCCCGATAATTTATAATTTATTATTATTTTATCATATCTTACCCCATCCCACGTCTCCCTCACCCACTTCGCTGTCCGTCCACCAGGGAGGAGGCCACATGTAGACCTTGTCCTCTGCGCCTTGTCATCTTACAGGCTGGTGTGCTTCTTCCATGTGGGCTTTGTTGTTTCTCAGTTAGATGGCCCTTTGTTTATCTTCCAGCATGTGGGACCCCAGATTGTGTGTAATTTGAGAGCTTGGCACCATCAGCTTTCTTCACCACATTTGCTTATGTACCCGCTTTGTCTTCAGCATTCGTGTTGGGCTAGGCTGGTGTGCTTCTTCCTTGTGGGTTTTGTTGTTTCTTAGCTAGATGGCCATCTGTTTGTCTTCAAGCCAATTTAAGAGAACAGTATATGGCTTTAAAATTTTGTTTCCTGCTTGGGAAAAATGCTGCAGAAACTGTTGTGATGTTGAACACAGCTTATAAGGACAGTGCTTTGGGGAAAACTCAAGTGTACGAGTGGTTTTTTTGTTTCAAAAAAGGTGAAATGTCAATTGATGATAAACCTCCTTCTGGACATCTGTCAACTTCCCAAAAGGACGAAAATGTCAACTCATAGTGCATTTGGAGTTCGTTCCCCCAGGCCAGACTGTTAATTAAGCTTTCTCTTTTTAGAGGTTCTGAAAAGATCACAAAACAGTGTGTGACAAAAAAGACCTGATTTGTGGCAGACGGGGGACTGGTTTTGCCACCAGGACAATACACCTGTTCACACAGCCATCTCACTGCTCCAATGTTTGGCAAAAAACAGCATTACTCTTTGCCCCATACACCTTCACTCACCTGACCTCACTCCGTGTGCCTTCTTTAATTTCCATGAATGAAGAGGGACATGAAAGGACAGCGATTTGACTACATAAAAGAGGTGAAGGAAAAAAAATGAGGAAGGTGCTGTCAGACATCCAAACAGATGCGTTTGAAAAATGTTTCCAAGAATGGAATCACAGATTTGACTAATGTATTAACTTGTAATGGATAGTACTTTGAAGGTGATGTTTCTTTTATAAAAAAAAATTAAATACATAGCTGGGGCAGGGGGTGATTATGGGGTTTTTTGGCTACCTCCTTGTATAGTCCTGGGCTACCATTCATTGGACACACTCAAGCAAGAGATCCCAACCAAAGTTCAGTGGCTCCCAATTCACCTTGGGATAACAGTTACCTGCTTCATCTCATACTAGAGCATTTCAACCTAATATGTCAACTCCTTAAATCTGCTATAGGTGAGTTTGAGGTAAAATCCCGTTCACTTAATGGATTTTACACATTGATTCCTTCTGGTGTGCCCTATGAAGGCTGTTGTGGGCCTTGAAAAGACAAAGGCTAAAGTCCCAATAGTCTAGTGCAGTGGTTCTCAACCTTCCTCATGCCACCACCCTTTAATACAGTTCCTCATGTTGTGGTGACGCCCAACCATAAAATTATTTTTGTTGCTACTTCATAACTGTAATTATGCTACTCTTATGAATTGGGTGACCTCTGTGAGAGGGTCGTTTGACCCACAGGTTGAAAAACACTGCTCCATAGTATATGGACTGGATGATCAAGCACTGGATAGAAATTAAATTGAAAATGCCCAATTAGAAACACTGTCCTGGATGTATGCTACCCTTAGGTTCTATATAAATATTGTTAAGTTTTTTTCCCCTAATGGGAGTTTGCTTCTCCCAGTTTATCCAGCAACAGAAATCTAATTGCCTTTTCTGTGACATACATGCCCCTCTCCCCCTGCCTTGACTTGAATTTCCAGTAAGGCTCACTATCACTCTTGTAGGATTGTCTGTTGATTTGGGATGACCTTAGCACAATGTTGTATAGCAGGAGCGAATGGTCCTCTCCCTCTCCCCCAATCTTGGAAAAACTGACCCCATCGGAGGTGAGGTTTCCTTGGTCGAAGTGGTTTTTAAAATGTTAATATAGAAGGGGTGAAGTATCTTTCATGGGTGCTAGGCAAGGTTCTGGTTGATGTATCTTCCATGGGTTCTCTACATCATTGCTTAGGAGACCAGATTAAAATATTAACATGACCTGAGGTCAGAAGCCTGCATTTGTCTTGGTGTTTATCCCTATGGTACCAAATTCATACAGCATCTGTCATTTTGTGTTTGACTAACTTCACTCAGCATAGTGGTTCCAGGTCTCTCCATTGTCATGAGATGTTTCATGCTTAAACCATGGTATTCTTTTTTTTTTTTTAATCATTTTATTAGGGGCTCATACAATTCTTATCACAATCCATACATACATCAATTGTGTAAAGTACATTTGTACATTCATTGCCCTCATCATTCTCAAAACATTTGCTCTCCTCTTAAGCCCCTGGTATCAACTCCTCATTTTTCCCCTCCCTCCCCACTCATGAACCCTTGATAATTTAT